AGACAGGGTTTCTTTGTGTAGCTTTGGAGCCTGTCCTGGCACTCGCTCTGGAGACAAGGCTGGCCTCGAACTCACAGAGATCCGCCTGCCTCTGCCTCCTGAGTGCTGGGATTAAAGGCGTGCACCACCAACGCCCAGCAACACCCAAGACTTTATAAATCGGTGCTTTCCACACTGGTGTGCCTTGAGGACATCTGGGGTCCTCAGGCCTCCACATACACCAGGGTATCAGAGGAAAGGAACCTATGCTGATGACAGCTGCTGTGGAGGGTGAGGGTTTACCACTCCTTGTTGCAAGCATCTAAAACGGCCTTCTCGGCTGTCCTGGGTTCTAGGGAGTTGGCAGTCCTGAGGAAGAGGGAGGAGCCACCCATAAGGACTTCCAGTTACCTCAGTCCCAGGAGATATAACCCTGCTGTATCCTGATAAGAGGACAGAGCCTACAGGGGTGATGAACAGAGCAGAGGGAGCCAGAAAAGAGATCTTAGGACCCTTCCAGCCCCACCCACTAAGGCCACACACTTACTGATCAGCACAGGGCTCTGGTGGCAGCAGTTTGTCCTCATCTTCTTTGTTAAATAGAGATGACATTGTCAGCCAGCCTTTCACTCCAACCCCCTGAACCTGGGAAGAAAGAGCTAAGAGTCAGGAATGAAGACCATCAAGCCTCCTGGGGCTTCACCACAGCCTCTGTCAGGCTTCCCAGGGTTGGGTTAAAGACTGGAAAACTCACCCTTCGAGCCAGCTGTGACATGGGGTTGAAGGCCTCCTCCTGGGGTTCTGCCGTCTCAGACTCCACTAATGCTGGGTTCTCCCTCTGAGACACAAGACCCCCATGCCCCAGCATGAGAGAAGCCCCGTTTCTAGCCAGCACACACACACATTAAGGGGTCTACATACCATAGAAGCAAAATCCTCTTATACACCCACTTTGCACCTCCACTAGGGCACGTGGAAAAACTCACAGGTATACTACATAACGCCTCTGGTCACATACACAGGCCTACATGGTAAATCTCTGCAGACACCTTTGAACATATACACCTGCCCACTTCCACACATACCCAAACACACTCAAAACCTTGGACAAGGGCACACTATGCACACAACTTCAGACACACACGTGTACATGCCTCTTTGTGTCTATACCTTCCCTCTGTGTACAGATGTTCATGCTGTCTGGCACTCACACAAGGACACTCATGTGGTAAAACGACCCATTGTTGTAGCTCATCCTCCTGCAGGCAGCTAGCTAAACAGAGGCCTTTGCAGAGCATTCAAAATTTCTCTACCAACTAAATGCAACACCTGCAAATGCCTAGATGAAAGCACAGAGGTACAGAATGCTGCTCAAAATGCATATCCATGAAAAATCACGAAATCCAGTTCGTACCTGCACTGGAATTTCCACAGAGACCCCAGTTGTAGCATTTTACCTATGGACACATCCGTAGAAACCCAGCCTTGGACACCGCTTATCCACCCTCTCACCCCCACAGGGCTAGTTCCTGCCCCTGACACATCTATTTGTGTGACTGCCACTTATTACAACTTCTAGATATAGACTCCTAGTTTCAAAGTCCTTTTTACCCTCCCTGTCAGAACTAAGTATGGTCTAAGGATGGCTTTGATGGAATGCTGCTCCTGCGGCCCACAGAGCATAAGAACTACTTACTCCCTGCTCCTGCAAGCAAGAGCTCATTACCTCACCAGGCAAGCCATCTCACTTCTGCTTAGCTTGGTCCACTAGAAAGCTGTGGTGAGCTTCATGTACTTTTATGGCTACTGCCTGGAGTCAGTGACTGCTTCTCTGGTGGCCCCAGCTCTTCCCTTTCTTGTGCTTTTGTTTATCATCTCCATCATGGCACTGTGCTGTTTGTAATCCCGGATTGTGCCTACAATCTTTGCATAAATGAATTTCTCTCCCTCCCCAGCTTATTTAATGCTCCTTATACCCCTCCCCTTGCTGTCTCTCTGTTCTAGAAAACATGACCAGTACCCACCTCCTCTGCCAGGTCCTCTTCAGATTCTCCACCCAGAGTCTGCAGCACTTTGGACTTGTAAGCTTTCCAGAAAGCCTGGTTCATGGCTGCAGGGGAAAGGGGCCTGGCACCAGGCACAGAATATGGTAGCTCAATGGGCACCAGTGGGTCTGGCTCCAGAAACTTGGAGGAACCAAGAGCCTGTCCCAGGGATCCGGTGACTTCATGAAAGATGTACCATTCTCCCAGGCTGGCACAGTGCCAAGCAGGTAAACCCGATTCCAATGATTCTGGGGTTGGGACAGGCTTGTGCCACCTCAGCCCCTTGTCTTGACCCATATTGGCCAAAGGTAATGAAGACAGCACTTTGGAGAGTCCGTTTTCCTGCATTTAGACATACTGGTGGCTGTTCATCTCTTAGAATAGCTGCGGGAAACTTCCCACTGAAAGTTTTGAGTTCGGGACCCACATCTGTGAATCCTATGATTGTAGTCATCCTAGCTATGTCTTCCTCGGGGCCCCACCTTGTGTCTCTACTCAGCCTTTGTGAGCTGGAGTGGGAAGGGCCCCAGGCCTCCAGTCAGCACTCTGGGCTTCCATTTCACTGCTTTGTCTGGCCTAGAAACCTGTTCTCCCCAGGGATACACGCGCCTGTCTCCCTGTTTCCTGGCAACTGGCACCAAAGAGCAGGAACCCTGAATTATTGCTGAGATCCTCTGCCCCCATACTGTGGAGTTGGCTCTGGCCAGCCTGGGTGGCACCAGGCCAAGATCAGAGAAGAGATGCTCTCTGGTCCTCTGCCTACTCTAAGCACACACTTCTTGGTCATTTCCCCTTTTCCTGCCAGCCCTCTCCTGGGAGCCTGGCCTCAAGAAAGAAAGCAGAGATGGGGGGTGGGGTAGCCCTCCTGTTAGACTGCCTGCCTGGCATCTATGAGGCTCTGGGTTCCATCACCGGTACTGAAAAACCAACCAATCACCCAGCCAAACCAGAAGAGCTGACTACTCTTCAAGGTTGGAATCCCTAGGTGGTAGGTTCTATAGGAAACAATTCTCCACTCTTTGCCCCATGGATTTGCCTGGGAGTAGAGTGAGGACAGAAGAGACATAGGCCCAAGAAAATAACGGGGAGAGGCAAGGAGAGGCCCTTAGCTAGAGCCTAGGGGTACCTTTGGGTGCCCTATCCATGATTCCAAACTTATTATCATTTGTGAATAATTTATTCAGGCACGGTGCTTTCCAGGACACGTTGGAAGTGTCCTCTACAACTGAAATCCAAGGTGTGCAAACCGGGAAGTGATGATGGGACTGGCAGAGTTACAGGATCTGCTACCCACCTGGCCCGTCCCTGCCCCTCAACGGTCCAGTCACTATCACCCACGACCACCTGGGGGCGCTCAAGCCACCAGCCCATCCGTGGCGTCATCAGAGGCGGTCCGGGCAATCCTGCTCCGCCCCCGGGCCGACCTCCCGTGACGTCATTGAGCGGCCCGGAAGCGCCAACACGTGTGGGTCTCTCTCCACTCCTTGCTCCTTGGTTTTGTTGTCATTGGTCATGGGTCGCTCCCGCCGGACCGGCGCGCACCGGGCACATTCCTTAGCCCGCCAGATGAAGGCCAAGAAGCGGCGGCCAGATCTGGATGAGATTCACCGCGAGCTGCGGCCACAGGGTCTCCCGAGGCCCAAGCCCGAGCTGGACGCCGAGCCCGACCCGGACCTGCCAGGGGGCGGCCGGCATCGCTGTCTAGCCTGCGCGTGAGTCCAGCCCCGGGGTGGAGCAGGGTCTGAGATGCTAGCCCATAGCGGTGAGGTCCGGGCGGCGAGCTGCGCGGGGTCTTCTGTCCTGGGACCCGTGGGTCAGCCCGCCTCCCATGTCCTCGCGCTCGGAATCTGATGTTCGGGAACGAGTTAGGGCCAAAGAGGTAGGCATACTTGAAAGGCCTCACCTCGTTACTCTTCCCTACATCCCTGCAGGAGGTACTTCATCGATTCCGCCAACCTGAAAACCCACTTCCGATCCAAAGACCACAAGAAGAGGTATGAAGGGGTCAGGAGAGGGTTGGTGGGTGGGTGCCATGCAGGTAGGGCTTGCACCTGGTCAGTTCCAAACTCCTCCTCTTCTTTCTCCCAGGCTGAAGCAGTTGACCATAGAACCCTACAGCCAGGAAGAAGCTGAGAGGGCGGCAGGCATGGGCTCGTATGTGCCCCCCCAGCGCCTGAGTGTGCCCACAGAAGTGTCCACTGAGATCCCTGAGATGGACACATCCACATGAGCGGCCTGAGGATTCAGGGCAGGAGAAACTGCCCGTGGACAGTGGTTCAGTGGCTAGGCTGAGTGTGTACTTTGGGGTTTGGGAGATGATCTCTCTGGGTGTTCTGCCCAAAATAAAGGACCTGGACAAGAGGGCATACCTCGTATTCTAACTTCCCTTCCAGCAGCCCTGCAAGGGCCAAGATGTCTATTCCCTCTAGATCCAGCTTTGGAACCCATACCACCCCCACCCCACCCCATCCCTTCCCCACCCTGCCTTCTTTGTTTCTGGATTGGAATCCAGGTACAGTGTAAAATTAGGGAGTAGGATCAGGTTTAGTCTGTGTTTCTGGTGATGGCAGAGACTGACCCCCAAAGGGAAAAACGCGGGTGTCTGAAATTGCAGCCCTCTCTCCTGAGTCACCTACCTCCAAGCCTGGGTGACAGGCTACCTGCCTCATTATGGGGCCTGTGATGATGGCTGCCGCTGCTTCACCATCTTCCAAACGGCATAGCAGGAGCCACCTAACCCGAGGACGGCCAGCAGTGTAGCCACAATCCCAACCAGCGGACTCCGGGGCTCTGCCTTCAGCTCCCCGGCCACCTGCATCTGGTAGAATACAGAGGCCACACATAAGGTCAACTGAAAATTCTAGGTAGGAATCGGACAAGATGGTGTTGCTGGGTGGAGATGATATGGACGCCATTTCTGCCCCAGGGAGATTCCACCCCAATCCCTCTCGCCTCAGTGCCCATCTGGGTCCTGGCTAGTCAGGCAGCAGGGAACGTGACGGTCTGGCCATTGGGGGTATCAGCCCCGCCATGAGAGGTGGAGGAAGAGATTTATAGCGCAAAAAGCCAGTATTTAGATGTACTTACCTGTAGCACCCGGAAGTAGCCGGGAGTCAGACGTCGAAATCTCATACTGGGGGTCGCTGGTCTCGCTGTCAGCCTGTGGAGTGGGAACAGAAACGAAGACTAGATATTGCCTGGGGTATCAAGAGGTGGAGACCAGGGCATAGGAGTCCCTGACCTGTTTTGCCTGGGCACTATGTGCACACAGGATGCTCACACTGCTGGCTCGCCCAAGTCTGGCAGGGGGCGGGGCAGCTGGATCTTTAAATCTGGTCCCATCCCCCCTGCTTTGCCAGCCTTAGGAGCAGCTGTCAGGAGAGATCAGCATCAGGCCTGAGAGGCAGCTCCTCCCCCATTCACCAGAGAGACCAGGCCAGGCATGTAGGCAAAGCCTTGGCTGGCAGTGCCCACAAGTCCAGGCATCTAACAGGTAATGGACAGGCTTCCTCGGCCCTGGTCTGGACTGTACTACCATCAATAAGTCAGTGCTACCAGTCAGCAAAAGGGGCCAGATGACTTGTTAACCACTTTTCTATTTGGGTTCTGTAAATTCAACCACCTGGGAGGGTACACTTCACCCTTTCCCCCAAGATAAGAGTTTCCACAATAACTTTCCTTGTGTGGCTTTGCTGGGGGGGGAATTATGCAGGTAAAATTTTTATAATATATTGTTACATTACGTCTATTTTTGTGTTTGTGTACATGTGTGTGACAGTATACACATGGAGATCAGAGAACAATTTGAGGGAGTTCTCTCCTTCCAACAAGTGGGTCCAGGGTGTCCAGTTTAGCTCAAAAGGCTTGGTAGCAAATGCCTTTACCCACAGAGCCATTTTGACAGCCTTTATAATATATTAAGAGATTAACTTAAAAATAGTCTCTGTGTCATTGTTCCAAGCAATTTCTGTGTATTTTGTTATCTCTTTCAGTTTTTTCTTTTTTCTTTTTTCTTTTTTGAGACAGGCTCTCGCTACATAATCCTGGCCATCCTGGAACTCATTAGGTAGACCAGGCTAGCCTTGAACTCACAGAGATTCCTCTGCCTCACAAGTGCTGGGATTAAAGGCAAGTGCCACCACACTTGGCTTTTTGTTCTTTGTGAAAATGACAAAAAGGATGATTTTCAGAATATTGTGCAGAATATATAAAGGATGAGAGGGCCCAGAGTATAGCACAGTGACTGAGAGTCTTTAATCCCAGCACTTGGGAGGCAGAGGCAGGCAGATTTCTGTGAGTTCGAGGCCACTCTGGTCTACATAGCTAGTTCCAGGACAGCCAGGGCTACACAGAGAAACCCTATCTGGAAAACCGAAAAAATAAAAAAGTTTTATTGAGAGTATCTAAATGGTCTGTCTACATAATCCTGGCTGTCCTGAAACTCACAATGTAGACCAGGCTGGCCTCAGACTCATAGAGTCTGCCTACCTTTGCCTCCCAAGTGCTGGAATTAAAGGTGTAATCCTAAAAATTATTCTGTGCTTTTTTGGGGGGTGGGTAGGGTGGGGTGTTTTGAGACAGGGTTTCTATGTGGCTTTGGAGCCTATCCTGGAACTAGCTCTTGTAGACCAGGCTGGCCTTGAACTCACAGAGATCCGCTTGCCTCTGACTCCTGAGTGCTGGGATTAAAGGTGTGTGCCACCCCTGCCCGGCTATTCTATGCTTTTTAAAAAATGGGGTTTTTTGGGGGGGGGAGGGTGTTTGCCTGTATGTGTGTGTATCATGTGTATGCAACTTCTGAGGAGACCAGAAGAGGGCATCAGATCCCCTGGAACTGGAGTTACAGATGGTTGAGTCAATATGTAGGCCCTAGGAATTGAACTGGGGTTTTCTGCAAGAGCAGCCAGCTCTTGACTGCTGAGTCATCTCTCCTGCCCCAGCTGTGCTGTGCTTTAAGCATTATTCTAGCTGGCTCTGTGATACAAACTGTGGTCCCTGCTGTTTTGGGAAGCTATGGCAGGAGAATCACTTGAATTCGTGATTTGGAGAATAGTCTGAGCAACATAGC